TAAGTTAGATCTGTCATCTGGAGAGGGTTGCATTACACTTGAAAATTTATGGACAGAAATTAGGGAAAAAATTTTGATTTCGGAAACTTCTTGTACATTTTCCTATTCATTATTGCTTCTCAATCTTACCTAATCTCTTTTTTTATAGCACGTGTGCTTGTTTTCACAAGTTGTGTGATGGTTAGCTAATAAGGGTTGTAAGAATAGTTCATTTGCAACATGAAATCAAGTTGAAAAATGTTCGTGATGATTTTAGATAGACTGTCAGGAACCTTTTTTTAATGTAATTTGCTTTTCATGAAGAAGCATAAATTTTACAGGCCAGACCTGTCAGCCAGCTATTGTAGCCAAGATCAGCAAACTTAATGGGAATGAAAAAAAAGTGGTATTCCATCCATTTTTATTCTTATAACAAATTAATTAAAACTGTAAATTGCTGTAAATGATTTCCAAAGTTCTGAGCCTTTCAGGACATATCTTTAAACAGAATTATTATTTTTTTTTTTAAGTGCATGTTTAGATGTAGATGCCAAAATTTGTCAGGTGATTAAAAAGCATACATTTCTAAATTAATTAATTTGCATTAGCAATCCCCTCCACTGCTTGCATTTGCAGTTTTTTGGTAAAACAGTAACTATTTTGATGAAGTATTATAAGACCATTTTATTTTTGTGAATACCTAGAAAATTCAAAACATCTGGAATCTAAAGTACTGTTTTTCTTGCTGTTTTTCCTACAATTTCCATCAATAATGCACAATTATTTTCCACTTTAGTTCTGGTTCATACAAGTGGTTTCTCTTTTTTTTTTTTTTTTTTTACCCACTTGCAAGGAATTTGAACAGAAGTGACTGCTTTCTTGGAGGGGGAACAGTTGGTCATCTTTGTCTGGAGATGACATTAGAGCTTGCACGGCGTTACAGAGTGGTAAGATACATTAGGCTGCCATTTCATCTCACGTATAATGTAACACAGTATACTTACTTTCCTTACAATGAAGAACAATTTTAGGATTCAGTAACTATCAGCTTGGCAACACATTTATTTCACACTGAGATCACTAAAACCATCTGTTGATAATTTGCTTTCTTATGGACCTCTGACTCCCATCTCTGAACAGAAGTATCTGAAGTCATTGCCTAAGCCTGTAATGATTCTTATTTAAGGCTTATTCACAGTGAACTGAATGCAAATAAATCTCAAATTTTTACAGCTTCATCAAAATCTGATTATAATGAAATACTTAATGCTAACAGAGGCAGAAGCAGTTAAAAATTATCTGAATTCCTAGTCGGCAGTTTCTTTGGGAACGCTATTATTATTTTGTAAATGGGCAGTTTTGCCTTTTTAATCGGTTATCTTGACATGATGATAAATACTTCCAGTCAGTTGTATTTCATAGTCACAGTCACACATCCCAACACCAAATACAAGATTATTTTAATATTTTCAGCATTTAAAAATTGACGTAATTTATGCGGTATTTTTAAATTAGGAAGCACTAAATGTAATTGTCTGTAAAACCTTGGCATTCAGTGGACAAATGTCTAATATAAACATATGCAAGAATTTTAGAAGATATTTTAATGATTGAAAACGGCTGACATTACAACCAGGTAATTAAACTTATTTGAAATGGCATGTAACTGTGGGTCCCTTCGCTCAAGGATACTGTGAATTGTGAACCAGAAGAGCTGGGAAAACTGTTCTGTGGGGCAGAAGGGCAGTTTTGACCTAATGCCTAAAAGTTTGTCAAACTTTTCCAATAGAAATCTATTGTGGAAGAAGTCAAAGAAATTATTTTACTAGGTAGCCTGTGTTGAAAGATAGATTAATTTGTGACAGGGCAGTACTCTGCATGTTTTTATCAGATTTAATCCAATTAAATAAACAAAATTCCCATTTCAATATACTTAATACTTTACAAAAAATTATTTAAAGTTGTGACATTTGTGTTAAATGGATTTAAACTTAATCAATATTGAAACAAGTTGTATGAGAATATTATGCAGCATGAATATTGACTATTATTGTACAAATAACTTTGGTAGACTTGAAATTAAAAACCAAGAATATACCAGGCAAGATGTTGTTCAATAAACTGGATTTTTAGTCAAAGTAGATTTGATGTCTTGTAGAGATCCTTTTACTATCAGCAAGATATCATCACATACAGATTTTCAGAAAGTATACGAGGTGTGTCTGCATAGTGTTCTTTTTTCATTACTGTTGTGGGATTCTTCAGTCATGCAGCTTTTTTTTGCCCTATTCTTTATGGAGCGTTAAGTATGATGGAGTTTGTCTTTAACATTTCAAAAAAATAGAGCTTTTGGTACGTTTATATTTTAAGTTCCCTCCCTCCATGCTTATTCCTCCCTATCCAACCTGTACAGCTTGAATGCCAGCAGAATGCTCTGTGTTTCGGGATTTCGGTGTGGCTTGGCTTGTCACAGCTAGAAACCACAGAAGGAAGGTTGACCTTCCACTTGGCTGGCGCGAAGCATTTCCACCACTTACGGAGAATTTGGGGAATTGGGCTGTGCTTCTTTGGGACGCGCAGGGAATTTACAGCTCATCTGTAAATTGCGTTTTTTCATGCACTTGTCACTGAAAATGTTGTGGTGAAATACTGGAACAGGTTGATCAGAGCGGTTGTGGGACCTCCATCCTTAGAGATGCCTGAACAAGCCCTGGGCAACCTGCTCCAAGGGGCCCTGAGTAGGAGCAGATGACCCTGGTGGTCTCTGCCAAACGATTCTGGGTTTGCCTGCATTTGCAGGACAGAAGGGAAAAAGATGGAAATCGAAGACAGTGCGGAAGTTTGTCCAAAACAGAAGTGTTACAGATAAATTCAGATTTTAAGACTGGCCAAATTTTCCTAGCCTGATCACTCTTATCATTAGTCTGCGTGATGTTGTAGTTTTGTGAAGGTGTTAAAGAAATTTCTGACTTGTTTCATCTCGTTCTTCCGTGTAGAATATTGCCTTACTCCAGTCTCAACACGTTCACACTTTTTCTTTGTTGAAAGGATACAAACTTGAAATGTTTTCTACTAATGCCCAGTTCCTTCACCTTAAACATTACACCAACAGTAAGCTTGTGTCCGATTACTCTTTTGAAAGATGAACTTCTTTAAGCATCCTCTTGGATTTTGCATACCTAAGCCCGCAATAGCTCTTTCTCCAGCCCTGTCATTGTCACTGCATGAATGGCTATAGGTGGCCTCGTCCCCCCACGTTGTTTGGGTAGGAATCTGTGATTGTAGGGCTAATCTTCTTAGTGGTGCTCTGCACGTCAAGAGTGGTGCCCACAGGAGGACATCTATGGTGCTGGATTTGCTGTTGCTGTGATTTTTCCTTGTTTCTGAATGACATCTGGCATTAACGATGTGAGTAGGAGTGTGTTAAGAGGGATCTTTTACTAGTAGATGTGAAAAGAAAGTCACACACACCAGTGGTTTTCAAAAGAAACAAAGGCAGCTTAGCTGTATTGACAGAATGCTCAATTTGGTTGAAACATCCTTAAAAATCTTGGTGAAAGAAACCAATTTTGGGAAATACAAAAGATTGTATGAGGTTCACTTCACCCCTCAAAGAAGAAGAGTGTGAGAACAAGAATTGCACTTGGGCATTGCCCTGCATCGTCACGGGTGTAAATGAAGTAATACATTTTTGCAGTCCAATGTCCTGGAGCTCACACATTCATTTACAGATGGGGGGGATATAAGGTAATTTTTATATTTTTTCTTTTATAAAATTCTTTTCTGCACGCAATTATTTAGAAAAGGGTAAAACCCACTTAATCTGTGTCTAGGAAGACTGAGGAATTAATCTCAAGGGATGTCTTTGATATTACATTTGTTGGGATACAGCTATCTTAAGGTAGTATATCACAAACCCAGCAAGTCTTGCAGTCGTGTAAGCATTGAGCTGCTTATTTTTTAAATCACTATTTAGAAAGATAATCAGCTACTGCAAGCTACTTTTATTTAGAAACTTTATAAACATTTTTTCAAACAGGCTGCTAATTACTTTTGAACATAGATCCTTAAATGTTAGAATATTTTTTTTATTAGAACCAGATATTAAAAACATGTTTCGTTACAGTTGAAATTGAAACCGACTTCACTACTTGCTATGGAAACAAGTCTTTAAACAAATCTGTTCTTGTGTACACTGATGTGCCAATCCGTGATTTTATGTAACCAGTGAATTTTTTCAAGCCTTTTTGCAGTCAGCTTGTAGAAAGAAATGTGATACAGAACCTATGCTTTTTTTGTATTATAGCCTGCATTAAAAGTCAGTAATCTATGTTTATGTCAGAAGTATGTGCTAGTTGTCCCACTGGATTAAAGAAAGGATGGGACAACTAACACGGAAAGGTATGCAACCTAACTAAAATTAATCTAATGTAAGATTTCCCAAAAGTTGTGTTCCCTGTCATTTGCACGTGACAGTGTTGTGTTTTGTAATGTCAGCATTATTAAGAGTTAAGAGAGGCTCAGGTGCTTTTAGGAAGAGTTGGATCATACTCTTGTTTTTTGGTACTTGTTTGTTAATTTATATAACCCAATATTAAACAGAAGTTTTTAAAATTAATTAGTTTCAGGAGTTGTAAAATACCATATAGCTATTTTTTTCCCTTAGTATCCTACTTTTACCTGACAACCTGTGAAAGACCGTTACATGGGGCTGAGCATCTCTGACCTGTATGAAGAGTCTTGTGTAACTGCTGCAGTGTCGCAGGAGGGACCACACACTGTTTAGGTGGTTACTTATGCTGAGACCAAAATCCTCGATAGACCTCTCACCTTGCCATAAACCTTTGCCTAACCTGTGCAGACTGTTCTAAATAACTTACTGAAGTGACTCAGTTGCAAAATGGGTGATAAAGGCAGCTGACACTTTAAAAAAAAGTTATAAAAGTTGAAAAAAATCTTCATGAGCTGGGTTGTCTGTTTTTTAAATAACTAATTTGTGTGTGTGTGTGTGTTTGGTGCAGGCTACAGAAACATTGTTCCGAATGGCAGTAGCAAGAGGAGCGATTACACCTTTAAGACATGGAGAAGTAAGGCTAAATATATCTATATATCTTTTTCTTTTTTTTTTTTTGCACATGTGGTATAATATTTTATTAATGAAATGCTTTATAAATTCCTGGGAGACATACCGTCTTCAGGTAAGTGAAGAGAGCTGGACTATATATGACTTGCAGACCTATGTTATAGGTTTTTTTTTTAAAGGAGGACAAGAATTTAAATCCTGCCCAGTGGGAGATGAGCTATTCTTCAAAAAACACTCTGTTTTTCTCTTTGCCTGAATCATAATTTAGCCTTATAATAGAAGTGACTCACAAGAATGTCCTTTTAGCCAGGTAATTTTTCACTGTTTTTCTCTATCAAAAATTGTAGAATCTAGAGAAATTCACGAGGTCGATCTGTGTTATTGGGTAGCTGTGGAGAGATTACTTTATCCTTTCTCTGTTCCTTTCAAGAAATCATAATGTCAGGTAGTATACAAAGTATTAATATATTAATTACTCTAAAGAGGATAAAGATATTTGAATATTATGTTATTCATACATACTTCTGTTGATGGTGAACGTTTGTTTCCTTTGTTGTGTGGTTTTATATCAGGTAAACATTGTTCTGAACATTGCTGATTAAAAGTCTCCCGTATTATGTGGTGCAATTCATGCTTAGATTGAATTTCATTTAAAAAAAAAAATACTACAGTCAGTCATGACACTGGAAATGAGAACCGATCTGGGCATCGCCACAGCTGGATGCTACAGTGTATAGGGTTTTAAATGTAGAAACCTCAGTGTTTTTTCATGGTAATCTGATTTTGATCAAATTCTTAGGTAACTTTGTGAAAAGTCTGTATAGCAGACACAGCATTCAATCTGGAATCTAGACCTAGACTTGCGCTGGAATCCCAGCTGTGCTGTAAAAAGTTCCTTATGCTGATGAAGTTGCCTTAATGTCTCTTTTGAAAGAAAGTAATATATCTTTGCATCAGTGTCTGAAGATGTACCTGAGGTTTCCTGTCCTGCCGTTGTCTGTAGTTTTAGCTTTTTTTTGAATATATGGATCCTTTATACTCTTTATGTACTGCTCTTCGTTCTTTTCTACAGAAGAGTGTAATGAAATTTCCAGAAGTGTTAGTTACGGAATATGTGCAACCCTTCCAAATTCTCTGTTTAGTTTTTTTCAGTGAAGGGTACTTAATTTTCTGTGTTTTAATGACCGTGTTGCCCAGATTGTTTGTGGAATCTCCATCCTTGTAGTTAGCTAGTGAATGGTGTGAACTGTGCAAAAATCAAATTGTTATTTTTTTTTTTTAAAGTGTAACTAATTGTACCGTGCAATGCAAAATACTGGGATAGTTACAGGCATAATGATCTCTTTTTGTGAACAATATTAGTAATTTCTGTATCTGATACATCTTATGTTGAGCCAGTTCAGCTCACTGATGTGGTAGAAAAAGTTTTATTTTTTTTCTTCAGATATTCCCTCTGATCTTTTACCATTTAGACTGCCTCAAGGGCTAGAGAGAACCAGATGAGAAGCAGCAAGATAAGTGGTGAGAGGATGTAGCCGTGGTTAGCAAGAAAGGAACTGGGTGAAAGTGCGTCTGTTTGATGATGGTAAACTTTACGTTGGTGTACTGTGTCCTGTGACACTATTTCCGAGGTATTCCTTGAGCTTCAGTGGAAATGCAGTTAATGTGAAGCTAGATAATTTATAGATAAAACATGTAAGAATTGTACAGAGTTGGCTTTTTGTGTAAGAAGGCAGTGGGAGAAATAAAAAGACCTTTTTTTCTCTCTTACATTTTCATCAGGCTATATGCAGGGGGAAAAAATGTTTTCACTCAAGGAAGATCTTTTCATTAAATTCCTTGGTGAATTATAATTTATTTAGTCTGAAAATGAGGAATGACATTAATCAAATGTAATTAATTTTTCCAGAAGAAACACAGAATTATCAAGAGTCATATTAAAATTTGTTTAGCTCTTCCAAGAAATTGCTGAATGTTTGCACAGTGCGTAAGTAGAAAGGGAGCCAGAAAAAAGTTGAATATGAACTAAAGTTGACTGTATTCTGTTTGAAAAGTGTGAACTTGGCAGTGAAAATCAAAGCAGAGCAAGTTGTTTATTGGAAATTCCAAACTACGGAGGCAGCAGTCCAAATGTGCAAAAGTGCTGTTCAGCTTTCACAGCAGTACTTAAAAATGTAACCCCATTTAACATTTAAGAGGTGGTAAAACTCTTCAACATTAGAAGGCAAAAATCATACTTGTTTGTTTTAAAGTCATAAATAAAAAAATGGCAATATTCTGTCTGCACCACTGAACAGATTAGTGTGCAAACATTTCTTCTATACAGGCAAAACAGGGTGCATGAAAAACTATCCATTATAATCCAGTTGTCACAAGGTGGATTTATAATTTATGATACTGAATGTCTATGGGAAATCCCATTTCTCCTCCTTCCAACATTTCCTCATTCATTGGGACTCATCAAGCTTTTATGCATATGGAATTTTTCAATTTTTCCTTTGTTATCCTTGAAGAAATTGAAAAATGAGGTGGTACTGTTTTTTTGACTTTTGCATGTGGTATGTAAAATTACTGTTGAGAGTTTAGAAAATTGTGCTGCTGAAAGTAGTTACCAAAATTGGGTACATAGTGCTAAAAATTATTTAACCGTGGGATATAGATCACAAACGTTCCTCAAGAATCTTCTCAGCAGTTCCCTTGCTCCTGATTGGATGGAAGTGTAGTAGCATCCGTGGGAGGGAATCAAACCCAGAAGCAGAATTTATTTTCAGGATTCAATATGTTGTTTTTCAGGTTAATTCGTTATTTCTGTCAGTTGCTTTGTTTTGGGGTGGAGCACGAGGCAGAACCTTGTAGAGTTTATTCATTTCTGTTAGCGCTTCTAGCTCGTTCCCAAATGATCCAAAAACTGTACGAGCAGATGCGATCACGGGAAATCTACGGCTGTGCTTGTGTTGGGAAGTCTTGGGGTACGTTTCGCTAATGTCACAGGGTTCAGGGTCGGTAACAGGCATAACTGAGAGCTGTGCATTCAGGGTGCCTGGACCTGATACCACCTAGAGAGCTTCTCCAGCTGTTTCTTCTGCTTCTGGTCTTCATGCAGCAGGCTGAGACCTGCTGCCCTCTGCTCCTCACGCCGCCCAGCCTCTTCCCGACAGAGCTGCTCTCTTCATGAGTGCTGGCTGATGCGGCAGCAGCGATGGAGTTGGAGAAACAAGAGCAACTGCAGCTTGCCTGCTGAAGAGGGTGAGAAGAAGAATAGGAGGAGGCTAGTGCTTCAGAGTTGACTTTTCATGCTTCCCAGTTCTGCATCCCCTGGAGCTTCCGCTGTCGTGTGCTCAACCCCCGGCGGAGAGCCAGGAGGAGGAGGAAGGGTTGGCACCAGTGGCTATGAGAAGTCACTGGATGTGTGGTAGGAAGGTGGAATACATTTGACGCAGGCCAAGTTGAAGTTTGGTGACTATACACAGAGAGAGAAAACTTCCCTAATTTTAACTGGAAGTGATCAATTTTATTCACGCTGAGCAAGTGACGTACCCAAACCAGTGTGTCACCTGAGATTTGTACGTCATGTGGAGCTACTGAACAAGAAGGACAGGTCTGATAGGACAATTAGCTTGCAGGACCGATGCTCTCAGTCCCTGCAGAGGAGGGAAACAAAGACACACAGCGCATCCGGAAACAAGCAGGAGGATAAATGGAGAGGGTGGAATCCTTAATGGGAAAAAAACCACTATGAAATATGTGGGCTGACACGGACAACAGAGATATAATGGTAGAGGCATGATTCCCAGAGAGCTGGAACTGATACCAGCCATGCACGAACTCTGTGGGTGTTAACTCATTTCGTATAACATCTTTATGAATTTGTCTTAATCTCTTTTCATCTGAAAAACGCTGGGACTTCTGGGTGGAAGAATTCAGACGTGTGTCTTTAGAATTCATTAAGTCTATGCGGAAAAAACCCTTTGCTGCCTCAGAACTGAAGAAGAGAAGGGCCATGCCTTATGGATTGTGCTCTTCTGTCTGAAGTGTTAAGGCATATGGGGAACCTTCAGTATGGTGGAAATTTCAAAATCTTCATATAGTGTCTTCTGATTGCAAAGACAGGAAGAAAATAATTTTGCAGAAGAGAAAGACCTGTGTAGGAGAGTCAGAGCAAAAAAAGAACTTAGGCTATATGATAGGCTCCATTTTAAAATGCCTACAACAGCTGAGATGTTTTGAAGAAAGAAGGAGTCTTCGGTCTGTAGCATTACAATAGAATGCCATTAATTTAGATATTTGGTGGTCCCCCTCCGGTAATATAAAAGCCTTTGTTCGTGAAATGCCACGGGAAACAAAGTATTGTCCTGGTTTCAGCTGGGATAGAGTTAACTGTCTTCCTAGTAGCTGGTACAGTGCTATGTTTTGAGTTCAGTATGTGAAGAATGTTGATAACACTGATGTTTTCAGTTGTTGCTCAGTAGTGTTTAGACTATAGTCAAGGATTTTTCAGCTTCTCATGGCCAGTCAGGGCAGCTGACCCAAACTGGCCAACGGTGTATTCCATACCATGGGACGTCCCATCTAGTTTAGGAACTGGGAGGTGGGGGGCAGGGAATCACTGCTCGGGGAATGGCTGGGTGTCGGTCGGCGGGTGGTGAGCAATTGCCCTGCGCATCATTTGTACATTTCAATCCTTTTATTACTACTGTTGTCATTTTATTAGTGTTATCATTATCATTATTAGTTTCTTCTTTTCTGTTCTATTAAATCGTTCTTATCTCAACCCAGGAGTTTTACTTCTTTTCCTGATTTTCTCCCCCCTCCCACTGGATGGGGGGGGAGTGAGTGAGCGGCTGCATGGTGCTTAGTTGCTGGCTGGGGTTAAACCACGACAGTATAAAAAGGGATTTGCAGGCTGTAAGTTTCTGAGAGGTTCAGTTCACAATAGCAGTTGGGTTTAGCTGGGGTGCCTGAAGAGATATCTATCCAAAGCTGTCTAAGACTCTGATGGATATT